TCTAAAATGTTTATTTTGGAATAAAGAGGTTAATATAAAAAATATTTTTGTCAGATTCATCGATTAATCGAAAAAATAATCAGCCAATTCATTTAAAATAATCGTTAGTTGCAGCCCTAATCCTAATCAAGGACCGTCTAGATCAGGAACCTCCTTAAGACCACCTCCTATCCTTTTCTCCTCCACCATTAGCTCCAGTCTGTCGCGTTGTTAGAAGATGTGCGTCTGTGCGCTGAGATGCTGTGTTTGTGGGACGGCTGCATGTGAGCGTGTCGTACTCTCGGATGATCCGGTAGCTGCGTTCTCTAAAGAACTCGTTCTCTTTGTCCAACTCTCTCTCGTCCTCTCCGATCGTCACATTGAAGCGCTTCTCCTCAAAGTCGGGCTCCTGCTCTTTGCGGATGGTGGCTTTCTTCAGCACCTACAAGGAAACACCAACACTGTGAGTCTCACTGACACCTGCTGATCAAACCTGCAACAAAATTGGTTCGTCTGCTGCATATCCATCCACCAGTGTTTAATTCTGTGACCTGACCCAGAGGGAGCTGAGGGGTCATCCCTAGTATCAATGCAACAAACCTCCAGTGGAGCCAGAAGGTTTGAATTGACTCAACTGTGGCGGGGCCAAAAGGGCCCTACAGGTGTAAGCTACACATCCATGGAGATAGTCAAGGTAGAGATCCAAACATCTACTGATCCTGACAGGATGTCAGAACATGGATGTTGCTCCTGATTGGCAGCGCTTACCTCTTTGGCGTGCCTCAGTCCTCTCTCCCAGGCGCTCTCCACAGGAGGCTCCACCGGCGGAGGCGGGGGAGGGAGCTCCTCCACCACAGGAGCAGCCTGCAACACGAAAACACTCGGTCAGCCTCCCACAGACAGGGAAGCTTCCAGCTCATGTTTACATGGAGATGAACTCACCCAAGGACTGTTAGGGATGAGAGGCAGGGGTCCTCCAGGGGGCGCTCCATTGGGGGAGAAAGGGTCAGGCTTGCTGATGAGAGAGTAGTTCCCCTTGTCGTTGACTCCAGGGTGGATGAACCTGCAGTTCATCCCCCAGGTACAGTTTCCTGAACAGAAGATGACTGATCAGACCCAGAAACCAGACGGTTGACCGATTTAATGCAATAGGTTAAAGTCGCAGGGAAGCAGCTGTTCCAACCGTTGCATTTCCGAATTCTCCCGAGTGGTGCCCGACTTTACACGAGTGAATAAAGTGAATGTGATTGCACGATTGGTGGAAGGTCCGCAAGAAAGTTTGTGGCCGGTTTGTCGGAAGCATCTTGCTAACCAGTTAGCAACTTAGTGCTAGTAGGTTCCCAATGGGAAACTATATTGGGACCAAGTAGCACTAAATTGGTGAGTTAAAAACGACACTGTCAAGGAACGCTATGGACAGAGGAAACATGCAAGAGGAGGAGAGTTTAGTGTCGGAGGCCGTGGATGAGTCTCATCCGTCATCCATTTTTTATTTAGAGGAGGAAAGCGGGGACGAAGATGTTGTGGAAGAGGACGCCAGGGCGGCAGAAGCTTGGTTTGGTGTAGAAGGCTTCCAGCCGTACATGTTTGAGCCCTTGCCTCGCAACGCTGCCAGTTCTGTTAGCTCTACGCCTGCTGAAGACACAGACGTCCATCCCCGTGAACACTGGGACGGAACTCAATGGGAAAGGAAATTTTTCTGATTTCTTATTTCAATCATTGAGTATATTAGCTGCGACATATGAATCAAGATGCTATGAACGAAAAAATTTGATTGACAGATGACCGTTGATATATGATTGGCTGAATTTAGGTGTTCAGGCTGATGTTTAACTCACTGGCCTGCATAAGATAACAGGATTTTTTGTTTTTTTAAAGAGACATTTTCTAACTTTTGGGACAATATAGTCAGATAAAGAGTGCATTTATATACATGTTTAAGCCAGAATGATTTGACATTTAAATATGACTTCCCTACGACTTTAATCCATCTGACTTTAATGACTTCCTGGGTGATTTTCACCCAGGTGTCATCCTTGTGTCTGAACCAGTCAGTTGTTGAGTTTCGTTGTTTGTGCAGAGTGCTCTGCTCTCCATCTCCTCCATATAAACACAGGCTACACAGTAGCTGGCACGTGTTACTGTGCAGTGAGAGAAAATAATCTCTCAATGTGCAATAACTCATGCACACTACTGTGTAGTCTGTGTCATTTTTTTTACTGCAAGTGCAATAATCCAACTCAACTACTGCGTAGTCTTCCCTCAGATCTCTACTATGCACATTTCTTATATCTAAGGGAAACATATTCCAGGACATTACAACTTTCTTTTTTATGCTTTTTAAAAAAAATACTACTTACACTCTTTTGTCTTTCTTTATATTGTCTGTCATATTTTTATCTTTAATGACATCTTGCTTTAACTCTTTGTTAAATAATCTACCGGAACCAGAATTTCCCTGAAGCAATAATCTCAAGGGAAAAATAAAGCTGAGCCTAAAACTGAACGTTGGCAACAATGAGTGAAAGTGGGGTTCATCAGAAACATCCTCATAAAGACCAATACCTGCATATTGATGTTAGATTTCTGTAATTCCTAGGCTGAGAATATGCCCTTGATTACCGGGAAGCAACGAAAAGAACAAAAACGTGTCAGGAAATGACCTGAAGCAGGTGGTTTACAAAACTGGGTGCATGTTAAAAAACTAGTAAACTACTAGACTAGAAAACTCAACATGCTGGTTTATTTCATACCCAGTCAGCCTCCAATACTGGAGAAACAAACTACAGACGAACAGAGCAGCAGAGGGAGGCCAGGAACTCTAGTGCTTTATACACATATAGTATGTTAATCATCATGTATGCCAGCAGCTTCAGTGAAACAAAGCTGTGCCCGGTGGTTTGCAGTTTCCTTTGTGTTTAATCAAAGCTACCTGGGAAAGATTGACAGGTTCAAATTTGAGGAAGAGATGAGAATCCGACCCTGCATACAGCAACTCTCATTCATTAGAAGCAGACACCAAAAACACAGAAACCTCAGCGCAAGAGCTCCCCCTGCTGGACAACAACACCCCCAAACTGACCCATTCAGCACCACTCTGACCTTTAATGAAGAACCTGCAGATGGGCCGTGGTCTGATCTTCCTGTCTGATGGATCTTTGACCTCTCCTTCCTCCAGATCATCGTCCTGCAGACAGAGACAGAAAGAATAATAACAAAAATCCCCATCAGCATCCAGCAAATGTTCAGTTTCTGCCCAAATATTTTAAGTTAGTCATGGATTTTTGTAACATGGATAAAAAGGGTCATAAAAAATAATTTTTTTATGAACTGTTTTTTCTCTACTTCCAAACTCAGCATCTCTTCATCCATTCCTGCAATAAGAAATTTCTTTTGACTGGATTTGATTAAACTTTTGAGCCTCTCGGTATAAAACAAATATTTTGATCGAGATGAGAAATCTGCTTCCTGGTTTATTGAAGTACCAATAGTTTGCATCCAAATTATGTATGTAAACGGCCATAGTTTTGGGGAAAATATAAGAATTATTCTCTAATTTGTAGTTACAGATCAGTCGTTACTATATTTTAATTTGACAAACCGGATCTTCTCACCGTTCTTTTTCCTGTTTGGTGCGATTGCTGTAACGAATCTTGACCTGGCCGGACCGGAGCTAAAAGTAGCTCGGCTCTGTATTTTGAAGGTGACAGAGAGAGAAGATGCACGTGGTAGAAAAGAGGAGTAGCAGTGCATTTGGAGCAGTTCTCATTTTTGAACTTGACAGACAAGTATTCCACACGACATACGTCAGCGGAGCAGAGCACTAATAGAGGATGTGGAATCTGGGGGTACGGAGCTGTGCAGCAGTCTGCAGTGTCTTGTGTTCTAGATCAATCCTGTTGAGATCCAACATTTTGGCTCGGTCCATCATCGCTGTAGCTGGTTAACGGAATGAAGCAGACTTGAGCAGTAGCTCTAGAGCGTTGGGCTACAGGAACTTCAGCTTCAAAAGGCGATGCGCTCGTTTAGTAAAGTGTGGTGGACCTTAAGACTTTCACTTGGTTTCCACACTGAGCAGCCGGAAGCTATGAACAGTAGCATTTAGAAGAAGCAGAATTCAAGTGAGATTCAGCAATAAGAGAGCGCTGATCTACATCTGGATTACTAACATCTACAGTCAGAGGTAGAAGAGGAGCAGCAGCTTCTCTGGGCTCCAGGTGCTGCTTTCATTGCCCTAAACAAGCATAAAAACTCTTCTCCAGCAGGTTTCTCTGGTTTTAAGGCTGATTTATACTCAGAAACCAGGTCGTCTGCGTGTGTCGCAATGAACGCAGATATAGCCCCGCCCCTTCCGCAGACACTCTGCTGTAGCTCTCCAAAATCGGAGGAGACTACAGACAGGAGGCCTCTGGTTGGTCAAATCTACATCCACTCTACACTATGCGTGTTTCCTGTTTGGTACCTTACCGGCTTGTTTTGTTTGTATGACCGCCATTGTGGAAAACGACTCTTGAAGATGGACCAGCTAGAAGAGCGAGGTGCAAGAGAACGTTGGGACAGTTTTCCACCTGGATCCCCGCTCTTTTTCGCCCTCATCTCCCTCGGTTGTCGCACAAACTTGCCCCCACGTCCTCTCAGCCTCGGCCGTATCTAAACCCACAGCTAGTTCCTGATTGTCCCTCTTGCGTTGTGGCGTGGAATAACATAGTGCAGACCACGCTTCAATACTGGGCATAAATCAAAAATATCTGCGACAAGCTCACTGTGACACACTACTACGGGAGGATAACCAGACTTTAACGCTTCAAAGCAGTGCCTCATCAGCGTCTGAGTCGTGGGACACGCTGCTCTAGCAGCAGCTGCTGGAGTTGGAAAAATTTAAGTTGGAGACACAGCACTGCAGATGCAGAGCGCTATGATCACTCCTCAAACAATTTATTTACGCCTAAATCAACCTGCCGGCAAAATATGTTCGATTTTATTATTCTGGTGCCTTAAAGGAATAGTACATCCAAAACATGATTAGCCTTCATTTTCTACTCACCCCCATGCTGAACAACACTCTGGAGTACTTTTTTGATATCTCAAATGCATCTGGAGATCTGGGAGGCTTCTTGCTGTCTGCTGACATTCAAATAATGGAGGTCTATGGCGCCCGAGGCAGAAAGGTCCATAAAAGTCCACAAAAAACGTGTCAATATTCCTCCATACTGCTCGTCCAATGTATTCCAAGTGTCCTGAGTGGGTAGCGTCCAGAATTTACTCGAAACAAAGTCATTTAGAATGTTTTTAGAGCATAAACAGTAGTGTAAAGGATTTCCTAAAAGCGCGTTCACGAGTCTACGGAAACCGCGGCAGACCAAACCAGATGAAAGTGCGCATTCAGCTCGGCAAAGAACTCATGCTCTTCCTCAACACTGAAGTCCTCAGACGTTTTTCTTTCGTTGTTTCTTTCTTTGCACAGGTAAACAGCACATTTCTTCTTCTACGCTTGCATTATCGGCAGAGCAGACGCTGAATGCGCACTTTCATCTGGTTTGGTCTGCCGCGGTTTCCGTAGACTCGTGAACGCGCTTTTAGGAAATCCTATACACTACTGTTTATGCTCTAAAAACATTCTAAATGACTTCGTTTCGAGTAAATTCTGGACGCTACCCACTCAGGACACTTGGAATACATTGGACGAGCAGTATGGAGGAATATTAACACGTTTTTTGTGGACTTTTATGGACCTTTCTGCCTCGGGCGCCATAGACCTCCATTATTTGAATGTCAGCAGACAGCAAGAAGCCTCCCAGATCTCCAGATGCATTTGAGATATCAAAAAAGTACTCCAGGGTGTTGTTCAGCATGGGGGTGAGTAGAAAATGAAGGCTAATCATGTTTTGGGTGTACTATTCCTTTAAGAATGGATTATGTGCATGAAAACAGCTTTCCAGCCGCCTGGAGCTCGAGGACGCCACAGGCTGCTGTTGAACGGGATTTCCGCTTGTAAAGCGGCTCCGACAGTGAAATAATGCTTGAAGGCAGGATGGTAATCTGGATGACCTGAATGCACAGATTTTCAGGTGGACTTTCTCACTTGCAAACATATTAAAACTACTTTTTACCCGCTGATCAAAGCAAATATATCAATGCTGCTCTCTGCCATTGAACAGCAGAAGCATTGGACACACTTCAGGAGGGTCAAAGATGCCCTTGAGGCACGTCAGACCTTAACGTGAACAAGAATAAAAAAAAATGACACAGCAGGATGTTTTTTTTGCTGCTTCCAGTGCTTGTTGTCTGAACGTAGCAATGGAGCCAGTGGTGCCATACAAGGCTTATAAAAGACTCACATTTTTGCAGCGCTAGGCAGATTTGTTTTTTTGGCTCTTTGAACAGTTTGGGTCGCTGACCCCTGCTTTAGATGCGCCTCTGCTCTGTCCAGCAGCAGGATAAAAGTCCCGCCAAGCAGCCAAACGGACAAACTTACGTCTATCTCTCCTTCATCGATCTCGCCATCGTCTTCATCCTTCTTCCTCTCTCTGAGCCTGTCCGACCCTTTGGAGCCCTCCAGACGCTTTGAATCGTCTCCTGGAGAAGGAGGGAGGATCGGTTTCTTCTCCTTCTTCTTCTTTTCTTGGTTCTCCTCCTCTTCCTCCTCTCCTCCTTCCACTTTGCTGTCTTCCTCCTCCTCCTCTTCATCATGAGCAGGTTCTTCAGGCACCTCCTCATCATAATCCAGTTCATGTTCATCCAGCTCACGGGAAACTGAGGCAGAGTCATCCTTCATCTCCCTCACCACTGCCCTCCTCATGTCCTCCTCCTCCTCTTCCTTGTTCCTATCCTCCTCTACCTCACTTGCGTCCCGCTCTACAGAGGTGTCCTTCCTGTAGCCCCCATAGCCTTCGTCCCCACCTTCGCCATCTTCCTCGGACTCAAAGTTCTCCTTGTCCTGCTCTGGCTCCAGGTCCGGGGACTGCGGCGTGTCCAGGACCTCGTCCTCTTCCTCAGCCGCCCTCCGTCCCTGTGGATCATCTTCATCCCCCTCCATCAGCACAATGGTCTCGTCCTCCTGTCCCCTGTCTGCTTCTACAGGCTCCTCATCCTCTGGATCAGAGACAAAGTCGGGGACCACTTCGTCCTCCAAGTCTAATCTTCCTCCTTGCTCGTCATCGTCCTCCTCTTCTTCCTCCCCGGTCAGGCCTCCATTCTCCTCCTCTAGGAGCATTTCGCTGTCGGAGATGACTCCGCCTGCCTCGTCCTCAGGAGACGGCGGCAGCTCGCTGTCAGAGACGCCGTCCTGGGGGGACTGGATGGGGCTCTCAGGTGTTTCCATGGACGACGATTCTGGTGGAGGAAGAAGACACAGTAGTCACCTGACCGACCAGAACAAACCACAGCGGACAGGTACATGTAGGGCAACACGGCAGAACATTATGACCAGGACCGCCAAGGTCAGCCAGAAGAACCTGCGCACACTGAAGCCCGGGAGGTCCACTCCTTTAGATGAGCTAAACCTGCTGAAGGTGTGAAAACCCTCCCCTCCCTCCCCCAGAAGGTGGCCTGGCCTGAGGAATCATCCTCCTTCCACCTCATGGATGCTCTGGTCCATCTGCTGCCTGGAAACATGATGGCTGCCATGTCTGACAATGACCACCCACCCAGACCCCACACAGCCAAAGCTGCCAACCCTGACTGGAACCGTGTTCCCCATCAGCTCCTGTTTCAAAGGGACCAGGCACAGCTGACCCTAAACATGAAGACCAGGAAGGTCTGAGTCCTTTGGAGCCATCAGAGCTTATTTGATGTCTCCAAAGAACTCTGAAGAAGGGAATTAGGTGAAGTGGGGTGGGTCAGTCCAAGATTCAAAAGGTGCCAACAGATAAACAGAGATGTCAGCTAAAGCTGTGAAGCTTCAGATGGTTCCCGGCATCCAAGTCCGTCCCAAAGCTGCCCTGGACCACCTCACGCTCTGCATCAGAGGCATGGAGCAGCAGACCTGAACCTCAGAGATGAGCCCAGCAGTATGAAGACCACCGGGACCATGTGCACCTCCCAGTCATTAAAGGAATAGTAGACCCAAAACATGATTAGCCTTCATTTTCTACTCACCCCCATGCTGAACAACACTCTGGAGTACTTT